TGGAATAACTCTGCACATGAGAGTTTTTCCAAACTCTCCGGAGTTTGGAGATACTCTTGGAGAAACTCGACATTGGTGGGAAAAATATGGTAATCTAAAAAAATAAAAGACCAAATAGAAAAAAAAACGAAGAATAAACAAAAAAAAAGGCGTTTGGAGAGTTTGTCCAGAGAGTTTGGAGTGCGGAGCAACTCGGCACATGAGAGTTTCTCCAAACTCTTCAGAGTTTGGAGATACCTCGACATTGGTGAAAAAAGATGGTACTCTAAAAAAGTAAAAAATCAAATAGAAAAATGAAAAATAAACAAAAAAAACGCATTGGGAGCGGAGAGTTTGGAGAAACACAAAAAAATATAAATAAATAAATAAAAATCAATGTGTGCACACTTTAGTGCGGAGCGAAGAGCTCTCTTCCAAACTCTCCGAAGAGTTTGGAGAGCGGAGCAACTCCGCACATGAGAGTTTCTCCAAACTCTTTGGAGTTTGGAGATACTCAACATTGGTGGAAAAAATATGATAATAAAAAAATAAAAAACCAAATAGGAAAAAAAATGAAGAATAAAAAATTACAAAAAAATCGCGTGCGGAGCAACTCCGCTCATGAGAGTTTCCCCAAACTCTCCGAAGTTTGGAATCTCTCGACATTGGTAAAAAAATATGGTAATCTAAAAAAATAAAAAACCAAATAGAAAAAAATGAAGAATAAACTGCACTGGGAGTGGAGAGTTTGGAGGTATTTTCTCCAAACTTTTCGAAGAGTGTGGAGAGTTTGGAGCGTGGAGCAACTTCGCACATGAGAGTTTCTCCAAGTTTTTCCAGAAAATCTCTCCAAAGAGTTTGGAGTGCGGAGTGCTCCGTACTTGGTGCAGAGCATTGTTCTGCAAATTTTTATTTATTTTTCTTTTTGCAATATTTTTTTTCTTGTTCTTTTTTTTTTTTGCCGCTCTCTCTCCAACAACAATTATAACCATCTATTTAATCTATTCCGAGTCATATAAGCAATGCAAAATGTTTTGGCTCAGGAAAGTTTACTTCAATCTTTGAGGTATTATCTGCAAACTAAAACCTCGAAATTATTTTTATAGCATTTAGGACTCAGATGGAAAAATGCTTTTTCATGTAACCTCTAGTGTTTTAATGTGGTAATCGTGATTGAGTATATTGTGAGGCTTTAAAAGATATTAATTGTTACAAATTTTTTGTTATATCATGCAGAAATTGATGTAAATGTGTTATCTTTTCTTTGTATATTTCAGCTCTTCTTCTCTTTAAATATAAATGTTTACATCTCCAATTCCTTCACCAAAATTCAAAAAATCTACAATTTATACGCTAATAGAAACTGAATAAATACAAAACTCATGCAACGCATGTGGCGACGACTAGTGTTAATAAAAGGGAGAGAGAGATTCATATCTAAGAGTTTAATTATGACTCATTTCAAAATTAAGAAATAATATTTAAAACTTCAAAAATTAGATATTATTAAAATTTATTTATGAAATAATTAATTAAAAATATATTTTATTAATAAATATTTTAAGGCCACAATTCTATACTGTTTGATTATAAATTATCAAATTTATTGGCCACAATTATTTCTCGATCATGGATTAGAAATTTTATATGTTACAAGTTATTTCATGATGACAAATCAAAAATTTTATAGGTCATAATTTATTCATTAACCACAAATAAAAAAACTTATAGATCATAAATTATTTATCGTTTATAAATAACGAATTTTATAAAACACGACTCAAATTTTTATGTCACAAATAATTGGTGAGATAAATATTTATTGGTCACATTCTCGTATAATTAGTTATATATTATTTATTAGTTACAATCAATACAATAATTGAACACAAACGTCCCCAACCCCAAGCCAACCATCACACTATCACCACGACCACGATCACGATCATGACCACCACCCTCAATGTCCCTGCCACGTCCAGCGCCTCCACCTGCACCACCAACAAAAATCACCCCAAACTTCCAACACCACCACTCCAACAATAAGAATCAAAACCAACACCTCACCACCACCACCTGTAGCACCACCATCACGACCTATGCCACTACCACCGCAACCTACTACCGCACCAGCAATCGGCAAAATGGTCTCTCCAGCCGATTTCATCTCCTTCGTCACCAAATCTGATACCAAAACTATCTTCAAACCTAAATCCAACATCAACACCACTAATCTACTCATCCCCCGCCACCAAACCCAAATCCAACGCTGTTGCAGCAAAACCATTGATCTACGAACCCATATCCAACGCTAATATACAAAACCACTGAGAGAGAGAGAGAGAGAGAGAGCAAAGGTGTGTGACGAAGAGAGATGGAAAGACGAAGAGAGATATGGAGAAAGAGACGGGACAAGACGAAGAAAAAGACGGGAGATGGTAGTGGCACACGGTGGTGGTCCATGCTATGTAGTGAGGTTTGGAGGTGGTTGTCGACAGCATTTGCTGTGATAATGGTCCATGCGTGGGGCAGAGAGCGAGAGAGAAGAGATGGTGAGATAATAAGAATTTGGGAGGGTAGATGGTAGTGGGTCAATATATAAAATTATTTAATTTTTATAATATTATTATAAGTATTAATAATAATATATTTATCTTTTGATTTTTGTATAAAAATACTATAAATCTGATTTTTGAAGTTAAATATTAAAAGTTCTGATTGGGTGTAATTCCCAAAAAAAAAAAAAAAAGAGAGAGAGAGACCACTTAGCCTTATCTAGAAAAATACATACCTAAAATTTAAAAAAATGAAAAATTATATGATGAGCCGTTATTCGAATTTTCACAATAAATTGCAAAATTTAGGTGGCGGTTTATCAAACAATGAAATTGTTAAATGTATAACTCTGGTACTATATTTATCTATTTCCTACTCGAATTAATAATACTTTATGGCCAAGTAGGGCTGCACAAAAAAATCGCGAAAAGCCGCAAACCAAAATCGAAATCATTGTATTGAAAGCGATGGTTCGGGTCCACGTAGACTCGTGGTTTCATTTCCCTCAAACCGAATCAAACTGTTTTAAAATGGTTTGGTTTAGATTTCAATTTTCAATAACCGCATAAATCTGAATTGAACCGTTTTTAATTTTTTAATTAAAATATTAATTTTATTAATTTAAAAATTTTACAGTTTCACTTTTTTTTAAGAAAAAAATACCAATTTAACAATGCAAATTATAATCAGCCTATTGAAATAATCATAGAAAGTAAATTAGGTTCGTCATTATTGACCTATAATTTAACACGTTTACAACACATGTTCTCACCTGATATCTAAACTAAACTAAAATTATTCCAAAATCATATAAAATGAAAAAAAAAAAAACATATATTTTCATCAATCCAAATCATATTCAACGAACCTACGTCAACAAATCACGTCCAAAGTTTTAGAAACTCTAATATAAACTCTCATTTTCCTAGCATTTGATATTTGTCTACCACTGCTGAACAAATCGTTAATTGCCTTTGCCTATTAGTCTACTAATCTCTACTAGAATTGCTTCTTTCTCTCTTTTCTTTCAGTAAGTCCTAGATTCTTATTCGAGCCATTTTTTATTGTTCTTTCTTTTATTTTATTTTTTTTTGAACTTATTATACACTTGTGAGTTGTGGTTTGGATATAAAAATGATTGTGTACCCAGATGATTAATGAACTTGTTCGTAATTTGGAAAGAATGAAGGACGGGGCGTGTTGATTTTGTGAAAATGTTAAAATTTCGTAACTAGTACTACTACTACTTTCTACTTTCATTAAGTCTTTAGAGGATGAAATTCGTCAATTCACAACAAGTCGAAACTTTATCAATCTTTGTACATCTAAACATATCACGTTAAATCCTTATTTAATATCTCACTAGTAAGAAGAAAGGAGTTTTAACCAAACTATAATAACAGAATATAACTCTACATTTACTAACCGCTATATGACAATATGAATGTCAAACAAGAAAATGGAAATAAAAATGAAGAAAGATATATTTATTCTATTAACATCTTTTAGCAATCAACGTTGAAAATATGAATGTAATTTAACATTTAATATTATTTGTTCTCATTTAAACTTATATTTCACTTATGTGAAATACATTACTATAGTGTTGAAAGGTAAATCGCAGATTAAAATAAAATGATTTGGTTTCATTTGAAAAAATCTCAAACCGCATAAAATGGTTTGAGTTGAAAATATAGCACAAACCGTCCAAACCGAATCGTGTTCACCCCTAGGGCTAAGAGAGCAAGCAACACAGCTCATTGCTGAGCCTAATGGAAAATGATAAAATTGCACCAATAGTCCCAAACCTATTGACCCTATCACAAACTAGTCTCTCGTCATTTTTTCCCCCATCATCCCAACCTATATAATTTAAGCATTTTGGTGCGCAATTAGTATTTTCCTTCAAATTCGGTCAATTTCCTTAAAAGATTATTGATAAAAGACCGTGCTTTATATTTGTTTATTTTAAGTTAAATAAAAAGATAGTGTCTAGATCCATTTCTTATAAAAACAATTTTTTGTAGAAGTGTCCAGACCATTTTGATGTTCAAATGTTGAGCATGGGAGGTGTAAATGCACACTTAAGTAAACGCAAAAAATTGACGAAGATGACAAACTATGCACCTAAACAACTAAACCTATAGATTGTTAATGAGGTTGCCAAAAAGAGAGAGACAAATTTAGCTATTTAGGGGGTGGCTTCTCCATATTCTTTCCTGTTCAAGCTTTCTTGAAAACAGTGTGAGGCGAGCAGTGATTTAAATATCTCAAATTTCAACTTTGTTTCTCCATTATTTAAATCTAATTTATTTATTCTTAATATTATTAGCATTTTCATCCACTTTAATTTTTAAAGACTAAATAAATAATAATAATATTAAAAAAAAAAAGAGGATAAATCATATTCCTCTTCCATGCCACATTGTGGAAAATTTGCACAAATAGGCCCCCAACACAAAATTGCCTCTAGGTCACATAGCTATTAGAATCGCTATAAAGTTTGAATTTACACATTTTCGCTCTCTCTATCTTCTTCATTTCTTCGTACATTGCATAATTCGTGTTTGTAGAAATGCCCGAACGAAAATTCAAGCCCCCAGAACAAATACCAACAACAACTCTCAGAAGATCCCCGAGGTTTCTCCAGTTTAATCAATCCGAACAAGAGAACCAAGTAACCCAAAATTCCAAATCCAGGAAAATTCGGGTTCCCGATTCTTGTTCGACTCCAATTAGCTTCTCACTGCACAATTTCTCAATTAAAACCAAGAAAAGAGAAGTTTCCAAGAAACGAGAGACAAAAGATATCGTGTTAAAAAGATCGAAAATTTTGGGTAATGGGTCAAGAAGATACACGAGATCTGATGGCAGAGCTGATGTGAGAAACAATGGAAAAGATGTGGATTTGGGGAAGCAATATGTGATAGAAAGGAGGGTGACTCGGAGAAGCAAAGAAGAAGTTTCAAAGAAGCCACATGAAACGGATACTGTGTCGAAAAGATTGAAAATTTTGGGTAATGGGTCAAGAAGATGTGCGGGACCAGATGACAGAGGTCATGTGAAGAAAAATGGAGAAGGCGTGGATTTGAGGAAGCATTATGTAATAGAAAGAAGGGTTACTCGGAGTTTGACTCGGGAGAATAGGAATGTAAGTATTGATGTTACTGATTGCGTTCCCAAGGGTGACTGCGGTAAGAGAGTAAGGGTTTTATCAGATGAAGGGAAGGCTAAGTTGGGTGTCAATTTGTCTCTGCAATTTGAGTGTAAGCCTGAGAAAAGGATTGTTACTAGTCCTAGTCGAGTGACATTTAGAGAGCACGTTGAGAAGGGCAGCAATGATTCGACTGAGTGTTCGGATAAAGGAAAGGTGAACGGGTTACATAAACAAAGTACAAGAAATTCGGATGATGGTGAATGCGATGCTATAAGGGGAGGAGGAGATGAAAAGGAAGGGAATGGGTGTAAAAGAAAGACGTTGATCCACGAGACCAAGAGTAGAAGTCGAATTGAGGAAGAACATAGTACCATTATAAGATGGACTAAGGAACAAGAATTGGCATTGCAAAGAGCTTATTTTACTGCAAAGCCAACGCCTCACTTCTGGAAGAAAGTCGCTCGGATGGTAATGTATCTCTACTTTATACCCCTGATGTTTCTAATACTTCTGGTTGTGTGTTGCTTTTCATGCTGCAACTTTGAAAATTTAGCTTAGGGCTCTCAATATAGGATCCAACTCCACTGCAGTGTCATTATGCAACTGAAAAGGAGCTAGTGCAACTTAGGGCCACCAAATTGCATCATTTTGGCAGTAATAGTAATACATATATGTAGAGGCGGCTTTGCTAAACAGAATACGAAAAAGGGGGCTTTGGTTAGTTTCTATTTTCCAGTTACTAAAATGATGCAGTTTGAACATTTACCAGTGCCTTTCCAGGGCATTGCGGCACTGATCTTTGGATATAGACATTTCACTGGAAATCTTGCTGTGGACATATTTTTTTCCTTAATAAGGCTCAAATCAGTTGCTGACTCATGACTGAGAAATACTAAAAGAAAACCAATCAAAGTCAGTCAAACTGACAAGAAGGGGTGAGTAATAGAGAGGGGAACAGAGAATTCATGAATCTGATTATTGTAACCAGTTTAGCTTTATTAGCAGTGAGACAATTCGTGCTCGTTTGGGACTGAATTTCCAAGACTTTGTTGAGTTTAAAACATAAAATTAAATTTTTTTTATTAATATAAATCACATAAACAATTTTTGACACGCACACCAATGTCACTCAAAATGAAAAGAATTTCCTCCACTAATTTTTCCCCTACATGCAGCACACTCTCTCTTGACACTTTCCGTCGCTCGCCACTTATATATGTGTTCTCTCTCTCTCTCTCATTCCACTCATATATACATAATACACTGAATTAGTATATATAGGTAGGAAAGTCGGTGGCTTCTTCTTCTAGTATGTCGGTGGGTGGCTTTTTACACTATTCTATAATGGCGGTGGAGAAATGAGAATTATTGGACCATTCTAGTTTCTTCCCTGTCGGTAGCTTCATGGAAGATTCTGGAATTTAAACAGCTTAAGAAATCATTGTCTATTTATCTAGAAAACTCTTCGACCTTCCTTATTTTGGTGATGACTTTTAATTCTCCTCTTCAACATCGACTTTTCATTTTGACTCTTTTCTTTTTCGTCACCCCCAACTTTGCCTCAAATTCGACAAGTTTTGAAGCAATCGGTCCTTCATTTAATGCATTCTCGACTTCAAATATATCTTGTTATTTCATTCCCTTTATCCATTTTTAGGTTAGTATACTTGGTACTTGACTTTTTACATCCACCTGACTTCCTTTTTTGTGATTATAGATTTGTACGTACCTCAATCTCCTGTAGATTCTGTTGATCCTCCCCTAACGTTTTTTGGTATACATCATTTGGCCAAGATTTTGTGTCGCTCTTGCAAGCTCTTCTTTATCACTGATTCCTTGGCGATACATTGTGCTTTTGACTCCTCTTGCAAATTGTCTTCCATTTCCTTTGAATCTAGCAACTCCACCTTCTGTGGTGTTTGTCAAGAATATGTTTCTTCAAATCACTTTTATTTTTTTTGAGTTTGGTAGTTTCTCCCTCTGCGGAGTCCACCAAGTAGACTTTGTCCTCTCTTGAGTCATTTATCCAATCATCTTCACGATTTATTTCTTCAAGGAGCATGAACCATTAGTTCATTGACATTCCTCGAACAGCTATCCTCTTTTGTTGCGATTTTGTTGAGCTCCCCTTGTCTAGTAACTTCTTCCAACCCATTCTTTAGATTTACCTTATTTTAATTCTTTATAATTTTGTTGACGAAATTGGACTCTTCTTTTATAATGGAATAATGCTTCTCCTTCTTCTTTCTTCTTTATTGAGAACCCTAACATTTGTTTGATGAATGCTTCTTGATTGGCCAGCAAATTTTCTAGATTGACTAATTAAGGTTGCTTTGGCCATGCTTGTATTTTGGCAATAAAACTTTTAAATTTGGGTCTTAATCCATGCATAATGATTATCCTCATTCTAGATTTTGAAATTTTACTTGAAGAATCTAATTCTGAAATTTCTTGATAAAGAGATTTAACTATGTTAAAATATTGACTTATCAAGAACAGCTTGTTTTTCAACAATTACAACTTCAAGTCATTTTTCTTTAAGAATAGTGTAGCCAAAGTGCCCCATACTTCCTTTGGAGTATCTTTGTCTCGTACTCGTGCAATTCATTCTTGATTGTTGTCTTAATTATGAACATGGCCTTGCTCGCTTTCATCTCCATTCTTCAGAGCTGTGGCTTCCTTTGGTACGTTACGCCTCTTCCACCAAATATTACTTCATTTAGCCTACCACTTGTAGGTTGCTGGTTGTGCACTATTTCGAGAAGCCCAAAAATTTATCGTTGACTGCCTTGCTCGAATGCCAAATTGTCGAGTTTAAAACCCAAAAGAAAATACTTTTATTGATATAAATCATTTAAACAATTTTTAACACCCACACTAATGCCACTCAAAATGAAAAGAATTTACTCCACTAATTTTTCCTTGCATGCAGCACACTTTCTCCGCTCAGCACTTATATATGTTCTCTTTCTCTCTTTTCTCATACCACTCATACTAGGAAGCACTAACACGCTGTTGGCACCTACATATCTGTGTTCGACACGTATCAAACATCGGTACATCTCCGACATGTCGCCGATTCATGTTGGAGGTCCTTTGCTGCGTGTCGAAGACAAAGAAATGCATATGGCTGGAAGAAACAGTAAGCAAAACAGATGGTTGGAAGAAAAGAAGAGGTGTGTGACGGCTGCTACGCTAATGAATAAATGTAGTGATGCTTGGAAGAACGGCACAAAGGGCTGAGGAGGAAGAAAGGCACGGCGAAGAGACTGTGCGCTGAGGAAGAAAAGAAAAGTCTAAGGAAGTAAACCTGAAGTGTAGTTTTCTATTCAAATTAGCTCCAAAACATTAAATACTCTATAAATAAGACTTCTTTTGCCTTAGTGGCCATGTTTTGGGTTTGTTCTCCAATGGTTACCAGTTCGAGTTCCTTCAGGACCACTGAGGTGAGTATTCGGCTGTAAACTTCAGAACCTCGTGGGATTAGTTGAGGTACGCATAAACTGGCTCGAACATGAAGAGACTGTGCGCTGAGGAAGAAAAGAAAAGTCTAAGGAAGTAAACCTTAAGTGTAGTTTTCTATTCAAATTAGCTCCAAAACATTAAATACTCTATAAATAAGACTTCTTTTGCCTTAGTGGCCATGTTTTGGGTTTGTTCTCCAATGGTTACCAGTTCGAGTTCCTTCAGGACCATTCAGGACCACTGAGGTGAGTATTCGGCTGTAAACTTCAGAACCTCGTGGGATTAGTTGAGGTACGCATAAACTGGCTCGAACATCCACGGTTATCAAAAAAAAAAATAATAATAATAAATAAGACTTCTTTTGCAGCTTTACCCTTTAACAAAGTAAAAGGTAAATTTTTTACCATTTAATTTATCATTTTACCCCCAATAAAAAATCAATCTCTCAATGGAGGTCTAATTGTTATTTAATTATTTGTATATATGATGTGATGAGTATACAAAATTTATTATTATAGACTATTGAAAAAGAATTTAAAAATAGTATTTTAATCAATGTGTCGGCGAAGTATTGTGTAACACACTCATAATACAGTGAATCAGTATATATAGGCAGAAAAGTTGGTGGCTGCTTCTAGTATGTCGTTAGGTGGCTTTCTACACCATACTATAATGGCAGTGGAGAAATAAGAATTGTTTGACCGTTCTAGTTTCTTCTCCAGTCAGCAGCTTCATGGAAGATTCTGAAATTTAAGCAGCCTAAAAAATCATCATCTATATATGAGTAGGGTTTTTTTTCTCCCCTATCTTTTTTTCTATTGTTCTTCAACAGTTCTTTCAATTGCCTAAAATGCCAATAGAATGTTCATCCCTTGACATCATCCACAACCAGAGGCCTCGAGCATTTCAAACTTCAAAGGGAGTGCGAAATTGAATCCATGACTTGGGGTGATTGGAATTCAACCCCTGATTGTTGCCTGAGTATGCACGCTTTAACAGATTGGTCAATAAAATGATTAATAAAGAGAAAAATATATTGTTGTATGATAACTAAACTGATTATGATAACCAATTGCAATGAATTCAGAACTTCTTTATCTTGACCTCTTTCGTTATCCAGAGAAAGCATATTCAAGAGACTCTAAATACAAGATACTCTATATGTTAGGGAGTTAATACTTAAAAATAAGTTTCAAGAAACTCTATTTTAACTTTTTAAATAAAGAGTGAGTTTGGCTCTCTCCACTATTCATACTTTAAAATGAATGCATTTACTAAGTTACAGATTCAATACTTTACTTCTTAAATTATTCAAATTATATTTGAACTATTTGGCAATTGATCTTTTTTTTTTCTTTTTTTTTACATGAAATATGAGGAGAAATCAATAATTTTTTTTGAGAAAAACAAAATAAAGAGCCAAATTGGAGAACATAGTTGAAGTGTACAAAATTTTTTACTGTTTGAATTTATAGATGCTTTCTATTATACATAAGATGCTCTATATAAATAGAGGATCTCTAGGAGATTTTTTGAGCTCTTAGTGGATCCAACTTTTATAGAATTAAGGATAAAAATTATATTAGTTTTTCCAACCTTGGCTTCAATTATCTTCCTCTTGTCATCTGCTAGCTTTTTGTTTTCAACAATTATGCATTCATCATGAGGGCATAAAATGTCTAGATCACTTAAATTGTGATTGATGAAGTATTATGATTGTAAGTTGCGACTTCGTAAGGTGCAAGTTTGAGTGCCTCCAGATTGCTTATGCAAAATCTTAATTGTAGGATTAAAAATTGTAGGATTTTATTTATTAGAATTGTGGATAACATTCGCATCTACTGTAGAGATAAATTGTTCTTATTCCTTGAGTTTAATTAGCATTAGAAATTTGGGTTCAACAAGAAGAATTTGCCTGTCTTTTTGTGACTGTAAGATTTGAAGTATGCTCCTTTGTTGTGATCTTAAATCAGCATTGGAATTCTATGCAGGTCCCTGGAAAATCTGCACAGGAATGTTTCGATAGAATTCAGTCAGAAAACTTGACCCCATCTCAACCTCGAATGCGTTCAAGGGCAAGGATAAAGAATGAATCACCCCTCTCGCTTTCAGCAAGTAAATTGCTAAATTCGGCTGAGACAAAATTTAAAAAATTTAGATCCAGCAAGAGGAAGGGCCTTCTTGCCCAAAAGACCATAAGAAAACTATTAGAGAAGCAGCAGAATACGGATCAAGATTATGAAGCAGATTTGTTTACAGTTCTTGAGCCGACAAGAAGTCCATCTACGCGATGTTTTCATGAGAGTACAGCATTTGCGACCCCAGAACTGAGCAATAAAGGACGTGGTTTCCTCAAAAAATGCCAGGAAAAATCTTCATCATTTCATGAGAAGCAACTTTCACAATTAAAGAGTTCGTGCAACACAGCTTTTCTAAGTCCTCCTGTTCTTAAACAAATAAAAAACAAGGCATTACATGAGAAATACATAGATCAGCTACATTGGAGGGAAGCGAGGAGAAAGGCAGCATCGCTAAAGAATGCCAAGTGTATTAAGAGCAAAAATGACAAAAACAGCAGTCATTTTGAACAAGGTAATGCAATTAAAGCTGCAAAGGATGCTCTGATATTTGATACACAAGAAGCTATCAATCAGCTCCAAAGCCAGCAGTCGAGCAAAATAAACGTTGATGACATTGATAACGATTGCTTTCTTAGCGATGTGGATGAATGTGAAGACGGATTTTTATAATTTCTTCTCTTAATCTGTCATGATCTCATTTGTAGCGATATCGTGCTTAAGTAATCTAGCTTAAAATTGTCCATATTTGAGTCCTGTATCCATCTTATGTATTACATTTCTGTAAGAAATAAAAAATGCCTGCTCATGGATGTTATATTCACTCCTGCTAATTGCGGTACAATTTGCTGTTGTTGGGTGATTCAGTTCTAGGTATTGAGGTGTGTTCCTTTCTTTTTCTTTCCTTTAATCGTCATAATTGTAAACTGCTAGTTGATCCCAGTGCGTTGCTGGGAATTGGCATGTGCACAACGTGCTAAATCTTGAAATGGGGATGTAAGCTCATTGGATCTTGGAGTGAAGAAAAATGAATTATGTAGTCGACTCCAAATTTATTGAGAATTAAATTGTTGATGTTGAATGCGAGATCATTGAGACAAATCACACACTACCTACAACTAGGGCTATAAATGTCTCGGTATGGCCCTTCTTAGTTGGCCGTGCAAGACGAGCTGACCTGGCATGCCATTCCACAAGCTAAGAAAAATGAAGAGTCCAAGACTTTTGGTCTCATTTTTCATTACGTTTCTCTTTATTCAATGGGCTTGCGCGTATCTGCTTAGAAAAGTCTGCTTTGTCCGACTCATTTTTACACCTCTACCCACAACGACAGAGATTCAAAGGATCAAACACAGTACTCTCGTATGGCAGAATTTCTGCTGTCTTGTCGAAGCGTCATGCTTGTGTGTTTTTTTGTGCCAAGTTCATGAACCATTTTTCAGAAATTTATGTCAAGGACAAGAGGTCGCTATCTATTAGAATTTTTAGGAACTAACTGATAGAAAACCCATGATTTCTGGTTTCCTTTTGTTGACTATTGTACAGGTGTAGGGTCACATATATTAAGTAAATTAAACATTAAAACATAATTCTTTATAAGGTTTGATAATTCCATCTAACTACATAAATAAAATCATAGGGTTATAATGTCATGTTTTAAGAAAATCTATGGAATCTCACTACAAAAAAACACAAGCTTGCCGATGAAAAATGACTGATGAAATATTTTAGGGACGATTGAATTGGATAGTCTCCATCACTTCATTTAAAAGTTTAAACAATTAAATTGAAAGAAATTTGTTCATCTCCATTTATATGTATCTTTGTATATCCCTTCTCGTCCAGATTGAATACATTTTTCTATCAAATGACTACCATGTGAGAATTTCATAAATAAGCAGCGATTTGTATGCTTTAATACACCATTTAAAACCTAATATCGATACAATTAAATAAATGATATTTTCAATATAAAATGTTGTTAATAAAATTGACACTTTATACCACCCAAAATTTAATCTCATGGCGTCTTGATTATCATTCATCAATGAGCTGTCTTTATTTGCATGTTAGGCTAGTAATATCAGATCATGCTACACATCACCCTTGTCAAAATCTAACTTCTTTTTTTCTATTTTAATATAATTTTAGTAGTGTCAATATCCAATTTTATCAACTTTTTCTAGCATCTGGTTCATTATTTTAAGTGAACTCATGCATTCTAGTCAATGTTCTCAAACCTAATCTTGATCGAACCTTTAATTAAAAAAATCAATATGATTAGCTTTGGGAAACAAAAATTAATGAATTTGATTAAATTAAATATAGATAATTACAACCTTCATGAAAAGATATCTTAACTATTGCATACTCCTGTCTGCATGCATAAACTAGTTGTACATCAACATCTAGATATAGATATATAGAGCCATCACATGGGCCAATTTGTCGTCATCATTTACAAATATATATTGTTGTGTATAAGTGATTTGAAGCTCGCATCCATCAATTGAAAAATATTCGGAAAAATAGATTTCGTAAAAAAAGTAATTTTTTAAAGAATGTATGGATAAAAAGTAAAGAAAAATTATCAATCCATATGAAAAATTATTTTATTGAAAAAACGTGTGGTTAAAAATAAATTTTAGAAAATGAAGGTCAAAAAAGGGCTAACTCAATTAGCGGATTTCACCATTAGTCCCTAGCCTTGAGGAACAAGTTCGTCCATCCTTTTGATATAATTACATAATTAGTCATAAATGATAAAAAAAAAGTTAAAATTTACTTAAATCGTTACATACTATCGTATCCAACTTTATGAAATTATATATATTATCTCATCTCAGATATGTGTGTAGAAATTTGACATGAGACATGGTATTATTAGGCCGGTGCATGTGAAGATTTAACGAAAATTTAGTAGAACGACAATAAATGGTGGATGACTAACTTGTTCCTTTTTAAAAGTCATGAACCATCTTGATACTCCGACGACAATGGTACACTGGCCAACAACACAATTTTTACTTAAGTCAGTATTTATTTATTTGCTTCTTGTGTAAAATACTTTTAAAAGTTGCTGAATTATGATATATACATCTAGATATTTTCTATCAATAATAATGAGAATCATAAAAATAATAATAATCACAATCCTTTTTTTGATAATTTACTATTATTGTTTGTATGAATAAGAATATCTGGTCCTTAATAAAGACTTGCACTCGAAGAGACAATACACAATAGCCTAGATCTAATCAATGAATAAACAAAACTTAAAAGGACAGCATTATTAATATAATTATAAATATCACCAAAGAACATACATTTCACTTTCTCAAGGTTCTAAATATTCTTGATTTATTATCCGAATTCATATTTTTTTGCAGTCACCTTCCTCCATAGCCAGCATTTCTAAACAATTCTTGCTTTACATCTTCACAACTCATGACTGAACGATGCTCGATTGCCTGAAAAATTTAGGCCAGGAAAAAAAAAAA